CAGATGAAAGAGTCGGGGGCAATCTTACGCAAGTCAGGCTCGGTCAGTCCCTGTCCAGGGTTGCGCGACAAGGGGCTGACGCCAGGTGGCCCGAGCTTGTCTTGTACCGGCATGTCCGCCGCAAGTCGCGGTACTTTCGGACTTTTTGCCCTTTCACCCTCTCCGGCCCCCTTCCCTCTCTCGGCTGCGGTTCTGACCCGAGCTCTACCCCCTGCACGACGCATGCGAAAAGCCTGAGGCCATCCCTGATACGACACTTGATGACCGCTTGAACGACCCTTGCGGCTATAACTCTTTTTGTTTGCTGCTAATCATGCTAGCCTTGCGCGGATGCTCCATCGCGACCAGTCCCAATGCGCAACCCGATCAACCTGCTCTCCTTCGTCGATGGCTTGCACGGGTTGCGATGAAGCCCACGCCATGAGAAGAACTGTCTCTACTGACGACTATTCCGGCCTTGCCTTGCCTTACCCAACAATCATCAGAGTCGCCGGATGGGATGTTGACAATAGACCTTGGAGGCCTCACTCCCTCGGTCGCCCTTACATGCCGCAACCCCCCGAGAAGGGCATTCCAGCCTCGTCCGCGGCATGTGGTTCAAGGGGGATCCACGACCCTGGAAATATGTCTGGGAGCTTTGTCCATAACTCCTCCGAGACACTTCAGGGTCGCCTTTTTGACACCATCATACCCAGGGATGCCACTGTGGCACATGATGTGTGTTGACGAGACGTGTCCTTTTCATGCGTAAATGCGATTGCCCGCTTTCCCACTTTTCCAACGGATGGGACCCGTACCCACTGAACGAACCCACAGTCTTGGGTTGCCTGTATCCTTTTTCGCATCAACACGGGTGTTGCGTAATTGTAGGAGGATCGTCTGAAGTTGCGGCGCGTGGCGTCATTCCTTGAGCGAGGGAGGCCAGCTCCGCTTGCTATTTACAGCACCGTGTGTTTTGTTGTATCGACAATTATCAACCCTTGCTGCATGTTTGTTTTCTCTTGTGCGCTCTCCATCCTGGAGAGCTCTTTCACTCGTCACTCGTCAGAACAACCATGGAGTCCCAGTCTTTTCGTCTTCCATCCGGAGCCCCCACGTCTACAGATCGGCTTCCCCGCATGCACCTCCTGACTAGCGGCCTGCCAGTGTAAGATCATGACGTGGGAGTACATGTATTCTCTCGGAAGGTCTCTGCGAAACCTCGCCGTTCCCTGTTTACCTACTGCGAGCTTGATAAAAGATGGAGAAGGTCCATGCGGCTTGAAGAGCCGCTGACGGCACCGATTATCATGGTCGGCAGCTGAGTTGCTTTGGGCCACGACGGCGCAGTTTGACTGATTGACATGCGTCTCGAACCACTGAGTTCGCAGCACCCTGGTCGCCCTTGCTCAGTCATGCTTATTGATATGTCCTTTAAACCTCTTCAAATGTAAAATCGTCATCCTGCACCTAGCTTTGAGTCGATGCGAAGAGCGCGTTAAAAAAAATCTTCATCCACAACCGGTGAAGTCCAGTCAAGCAGATCGTTAGGAGAATGTGCTTTCTTCATGACATCACGTTCTAGTGTCGCTATTGGCGGATTGACACTTGGCTTAGCCAATGTATAGAATTGCCTTGACGGCGCTACGTTATTACTGACGGTTTTGATTCCTGGAATCAACCCACCACTCACCTCCATTGGTAGGCGGCGTAGCTGCGTCACCCGATATTTAGCCGCCGCCGCTTGGTCTCGAGACAGAACGCCTCACGACTAATTGTGCGTGCAGTACGCTCCATCCTGGAGGAGCCGAGCGGCGGGGAGTCAAAAGCAAATGTCGCGTATTAGACATTGCCAGGCTGTCCAGCATGCGAAAATAGACGGCGAACACTGATGCTTCTTATGGCAGAGATGTAACCGAGTCCGATAAAGTGTCTACCAGTTTGTATGCGCATCACTCGGTGCCATTTTAGCTCATCAATTGAGGATTGACCATGGCGTTGACAAGGCTGTAGAACTCGCGGTCAAGTTCACCAATAACCCTAGAACAATGAACTGAAGAAAAGACTCGCAACCGTACAAGGAAGCAGAAACATCAAGTCGAGGTTGTAGAAAACGAGGCAGCACTTAGAGTGAGCTGACAAGGCTTGTTTGCGATACTTGTGCCTGCTGTGGCTGCTCGTCCGACCTTGCTTGCGTGCATCGACTGCTGTAAATGGACGGATTCAGTTGCCCAAAGGGCGATCCTTTCGATAGCTACTTGACGGTGTTGAGAATCTGAAATGACTGTCTACTTCAAGCGTGATCTGTTGAAGTTGTTTTTTATCATAAGTCATAATCACGAAGCTTATTCAGAAAACTCAATCCTGGAAGTCCCATTCTGTATGAGTACGCAGAACCGGTACAACCAAAAGAAGGAACGTGCCACCCCGACGCCTTCTTAGCTGCTCGAGTCTGTTTGTATCAAACGCTCAGTATTTGGATACTTTGGTGATCCAAGGCGTACCGATCTGGAGAATTTTAATAGTCCTGGCCACCAATTAAGTTTGGACACCGTGGTAGAGCTGTATGCTTGAAGCTCAGAACAGTAAGCCGTGCATAACAGGGCAGCCCCTGATCACAGACTTTGATCGGGTCTCTCAAGACCCCTCCACAGAAGGTTTGGATACACAAAGTTTGTGTCTGCAGCAGAGGCGCGCATCTTTCCAAGACTTCTCTTTGCGCAGCCTCTCTCCCTTAACAAGTCATGGAGAAGAGAAAATGGCGATTGAAGCAAGGCCAGCTCTGTTCAACGATCAGCAATCGCTTATGAATGGCAAAGCGCACTACTCTCCTTGTATTCGTAATTTGTACGGTATTCACAGCTCGTGGAAGGAATAATATTCGAAACGGTCTACGCTTTCCTCAACGAAAACCCGACCTTCTCATGTCTGCATGTTGCATTCGTTTTGGTAACAGCGAACAACCCCGCGGCCGGCAGCCTGTTCTTTCTTGTCGAACGCCTCGTCCTCATTGCTCTTAGAAACGAAACACGATGGACTCGGAGTGACTAGAGGGACAGTCACCGCAGCTTGGCCAAACAGTGACAGCTACAATATCCAGCCTGCACGTTGTTGACAGGGCACGTCGTAGCTTGGAAAACAAAAATACAATTCTCAAGGCTAGATTCAGAGAAAACCCACAGCCGCAGCCGGGCCTCACTTTTGGGCGCTCAGACTGGGAGACTATGCTACCGAGGCCTCCTGCTACACTCCTTCGCCGGCTGAGTCGGGATGAGTCCCACCAGGTACCTAATCAAGAAACGCCCACCACCCGTCTAAGAACCTCCCCACCCCTTTGTGTATATACTCGACGCGATGCCCATTGATCGAAAACAGAGTGAAGAATGACAGTTCTACGTCATGTAGTACTTGGGGCCCTCGCCACCCTGCGGCACCTGCCAGTTGATGTCCTGGTGCGGCGCCTTGATGTCGCACGTCTTGCAGTGAATGCAGCTGTCTCCATGTTAGCATATGCAACAAAAACAAATCTCACGAATGACGAGAAGAACTCACTTTTGCGAGTTGATCTGGAACCGCACGCCGAGCTCCTTGGTGTCGTCCTCGACATACTCGTAGACGCCCGCCGGGCAGAACCTGTTCTCGACACCCTTGAACTTGGGCCACGTCTCGGCGGCGTGCTTCTCCCAGTCCTTGACCTGCAGGTGGACGGGCTGGTCCTCCTCGTGGTTGGTGCCGGTGCGACTGACGCTCGTGAGAATGTCAAAGGAGATCTCGCCGTCGGGCTTGGCGTACTCGATCTTCTTGCTGGCGTCGGCCGCCTTGGTGGACGCGTGGTCGGGGCTGCCGTGCTTCAGGGTCCAGGGCACGCGGCCCTTGAAGAGGTAGGCCTCGAGGCCGCAGTAGGCAAGGCCGCCGTAGAGGCCGAGGGGGGTGTGGAAGGAGGGGCGGAAGTTGCGGACCTCCTTGAGCTCGGCCCAGATGGGGGAGGCGCGCAGCTTGTCTTCGTAGTCGTACAGGAAGACGGCGCTCGCGTCCTCCTCGGCGGGGGGCGCGTCGGCGAGGGCGGTCCAGGCGGCCTCGGCGGCGAGCATGCCCGACTTCATGGCGTTGTGGGTGCCCTTGATCTTGGGCAGGTTGACGAAGCCGGCCGAGTCGCCGATGAGGGCGCCGCCGGGGAAGGCACACTTGGGAATGCTCTGGAAGCCACCCTCGTTGAGGACGCGCGCGCCGTAGGAGATGCACTTGCCGCCCTCGAGGACGGAACGATAGAGGGGATGCTGCTTGTACTTTTGAAACTCGTTGTACGGGGACAGCCAGGGGTTCTGGTAGTCGAGGGCGACGACGAGGCCGACGCTGACGAGATTGTCGCCGAAGTGATACATCCAGCCGCCGCCGTACGTGTCTTTGTCGAGGGGATAGCCGAGGCTGTGTGTAATCTCGCCCTTCTTGAACTTGTCAGGGGAGACCTCCCAGACCTCCTTGAGGCCGAGGGCGTAGGTCTGATGCTGGCTGTCGCGGCGCAGGTCAAACTTTTTGATGACGGCCTTGGACAGGGAGCCGTGGCAGCCCTCACCGAAGAGGGTGACGCGAGCGTGGAACTCCATGCCGCGCTCGAACGAGTCCTTGGGCTTGCCGTCGCGGGCGATGCCGAGATCGTTGGTCGCGACACCCTTGACGCTGCCGTCAGGGTGGTAGAGGACCTCGCTGGCGGCAAAGCCGGGGTAGACCTCGACACCGAGCTCCTCGGCTCGTTCGCCGAGCCATTTCGTGAACTGGTTCAACGACACAATGTAGTTGCCGTGGTTGTTCATCTGGGGGGGCGTGGGTAGGGGAATGCTGAGCGTCTTGGTGAGGTAGCGCATGCGGTCCTTGCCAGCGGGGGTCGCGTGCTCAAAGCGGTCGGGATTGTCTTCGGAGAGCCAGTCGGGCAGCAGCTCGTCGATGGACGTCGGCTGGATGACGGCGCCCGAGAGGATGTGCGCACCGATCTCGCCGGCCTTCTCGAGGAGGAGGACGCGGAAGTCCTCGTTGCCTGCCTCATTGGCGAGCTGCTTCAGGCGAATGGCGGCACTGAGACCGGCAGGACCGCCGCCAATGATGCAGACGTCGACCTGGTCAGACTCTCGTTCGATGGAGGCGGGGTCGAAGGACTCGTCGTCATCGGAGAGGCGGGGTCTTGAGGTGGTGAAGGCGCGTATGGAGGGGAGGGCGGCGGCGGCGGCGAGGGTTCGAGGGGTGACTGCGGGGGAAGCTGTCGTTCTTGTCGTTGAGGAGAGGCATGGCCTAGTGCTGATCGTGGGGAGGGGCCTCCATCGCGCAATGGAGCGTGTGGTGCGTTGGAGGTTGCGCGTTGAAGACATGGTGGCGAGCGAGGCAGTGAGGAGTGTTTTGGGAGGGGGAGGTAGCCAGACGCTCAGAATTGCGAGAAGAATAAAACAATTGAAAGAAAAAAAGAGAAGAGGATCAACGCTATCCTCTACCAAGAATCCCAGACCAACGCGGGACCGTGGTTTACGAGAGGAGGAGCGAGGGGAGGGGTGTCGAAGTGGTGGTGGTGAGGTCGAAGATGTGACTCTCTGGCTTGCGGCGGCATATGAAAATGTTGGCGGGCGACCTGGGCCACAGCTTCCAATACGTAATGTGGGTTCTGGAGTGGGATCCCCGGCTTAAGCACGGGCGTTGTCGCGGCGTTCGCAGTGCTACAATACTGACGAGTGCCAAAGATTGGCGGACAAGCCCTCGGTTGCAATAACCGAGAGAAAGCGTACAGCCGATACATGAGGGGACTTGTCGAGAGCATGCTACAGAGGGGCTCAGGGAAGTGCCACAGCGGACCAGCCAGTCCCTCGAGGTACTTCTGTCTCCGTCACCTGCCACTGGAACCAGAAGATACCGAGGGAGGCTCCACTACGGAGCACCGTCTCCTCGAGGCATTGGCCAATGGGAGTGCCTCGATTACTGTGCTGCAATACGGGCTGCCCAGGAATGATAACCCTAACCCGAGCCCAACCCTGGCCAGGGTTGCTCTTATATCATGAGCTTCTTCTAATCACTAGTGATTCTCCGAGCGTCAGAGCCAGGCAGTGGTCTTTCTTGTGTGCAGAGGGTAAGGCTAAGACGTCCTGGGTTTCATTTCAAGACTATTCTGCTCAGCCTTGACCTGAAAGATGTGCACAATGAAAAGCTAGCTGCCCCTACAGATCCCTCATCTGCTTCATCAGTTGCCAACCCAAGAACCCCAGCAATAGTCTTTCAGGGTCCATATACAACGATCGTCCTGCCATTTCACATTCTATTAAAAGTATAACGCCTGCCCCCGCGTACCCATCAACCCATGTGCTCTCCCACCGAATGTGATGGCTCAGCATTCTGGGCCTGACCCTCTCCCCCCTTGAACTCCTCAAAGCCCCAGCTCGGCGGTAGGTCTTCCTCGTTTGTTCCCCATGCACTTTCCTCTTTGCCGACCTTGACCTCGAGCAAGCCGCCCTCGGCGAAGAAGTCGTGCGTGATCCAGCTCTTCGTCCACTTGCGCCCATTGAGCTTGACGCTCTGCACATATAGCATGCCCTCGGCCATGGGATCCTCGCCCCGCGCCGCCACCTTTCGAATGACAGCCTCTCGGCCCGGCTTCCTCGCCCGCAGCCTGACCTCACGGAAGAAGGGCGCCGTGAGAAGGTACACGTCCATGCCGGCGACGGGGAAGAAGCCCATCATGACAAACGCCGCGAACGCGCCCATGGCGCCGTCGTCGTTGCCCGGGATCCCCGCCATCGTGCCGTTGAGGTGCGCCGGCACGTACGCCCGCGCCCACTTGGCGCTGAGCCCCGGCCCGCGCCGCGTGGGGGAACTGGAACACCGTCAGAACGCCTGCTCGTTGCCGAGGTACGCGAGCCTGTTGGCGTGTAAGTACTCGAGCCGGCGCCGGAGGGAGCGCCGCGCGCCGCCCATGAGGCCCGCCAGCGTCGCCATGTCGTGCGGCGCGTAGAACGTGTAGAGCCACGGCGAGCCCTCGTACGTCGACTCCTTCGTGTCATAGTAGCAGAGGTGAGGCTCCGACGTGGGCGAGCACACGCGCGGGCTCTGGTAGAGGAACGTCCCGTTGGCGAGGCGCGGCTGGAGGAAGCCGACGAATTTGGATGCGGCCGTGGGGTCCTGGCTCGGGGACGTGCCGCTCAGGTCGGGCGGCGGCGCCGGCGGCAGGTCTATCTGTGCCGGGTTCCAGAGGTTCTGCCAGTAGGTGCTGCGCTGCGCGTACTTGGCAAAGTCGCCCGTGTGGCCCCGCCAGCGGGCCATGGTGGCGATGCAAAAGTCGTTGAACGCATACTCGACTGTTCGCGAGACGGTACGCGAGTGAGGGCCGGTTGAGTTGGCGTCGCGGTGGTCCGAGGCGATATAGTGCAGCTGCTGCCACGACTCGATGTTGCCTCTGCCTCCAACGTTGAACGAGGGTGGCGAGACTGCGGCCGTCAGTTTCAGGATACGTGGGGAACAAGATCACCAAAAAGAAAATAGAAGCAAGGGTGCAAAGAGAGACAGATGCAGAGAGAAAAAAAGAGGAAAGACTCACTCTCGGCATCAGAGACGATAGCTTCATACGCCGTCTCCCAGTCGATTCCATCCGTGATGCCCTTCAACAAGGCATCCACGACAACGACGTCAGCATTGCTGCCCGCCCTGGCTTGATCCCCCTGCAAAAGGACATGCGGCAGTCCGGCAGCTTGCCCTCGTGGCGGTAGATGTCAAGCAGCGCCCTCACCATCTCGGCCTGGGCAACGGGATCGAGAATGGTCAGCAGCGGGTGCTGCGCGCGGGAACGAGTCCCAGATGCAGTAGAACGAGTCAAAGTAGGGCTCGGACGACTGCCACAGCGGGTTCTCGCCCGTGTAGTTTTGCGGCGACAGCATCGACCGGTAGAGGCCCGACCAGAAGACGGTCTGCAGCTCGGTGCTGACGCCCACGGCGTCGACCGAGACGGAGGACAGCTTGTCGGCCCACACCGCACGCGCCTCGGCTTCGACCGTGTCGAGATCGACCTCGGGGATCTCCTCCTCGGCGTTGTGGCACGCCTGCGCCGACGAGATGAAGGACACGCCGACGCGCGCGAAGATGCCGTCCGGCCCCGTCTCGTCAAAGTGCAGCCAGGCGCCGGCCGATCCCCACGGCAGCGCGTCCCACTCGTGCAGGCCCGGCGTGGCTTCGGACCCGGCGAAGACACCGGCAGCGCGCACGTGGGAGCCGGCGAAATCGGCGCAGAAAAAGGCCTTGTAGGTGCCCGTGCCAAAGGAGGGGGCGAAGGTGCCGTGGCCCGTCATGCGGCCCGACGAGCGATCGACCTTGATGCCGCCGTCACTGCGGCTGCTCGCAATGTCCTCGACGTCGAGGAGAATCAGGGGCTTGGCACCCTCGGGAAAGGTGAAGCGGAAGAGCGTCGCCTGCGCTGACGCCGTCATCTCGGCGCGCACGCCGGTCGTCAGGTTCAAGGCGAAGAAGCCGACACGTGCCTCGACCGAACTCGGCGCGCGCAGCGTCTTCCGTTCCAGCGTCGTGAACGTGCATCTCTTGGGGTCGTCGTTTGGGCACCAAGGGTGTGCGAACAGGGGGAAGTTTCCCAGCGAGGGGGCCTACGACATTTAGCTGGCAGAAACGCGTGCGATAGAGGCGTTTACATACACCTCCGGTTCCTGTACGTGTCAGAGATTGTCAGACGACTTGGGTCTTCAGGGCGAGGGCATACCTGAATCGTGAAGATGAGAGAAACCCGTGATGGCTGAGTCGTCAGACACCCAGCCCGCGGCGTTCTCCCCTCGATTGTCAGTGTCGGGGCCGGCCTTGGCCATACCGTACGGCAACGTCGCGCCGGGGAACACATGGCCTACACATGGTCATCCGGTTGAGTCATCTTGTTCGCCTGGAAGAGGACGATCTGAGAGAACCCACCTCCGTTGAGGGTCCCGATCAGTGGATCAATGAATCCAAGGATATCAGCACGCACACGAGTGAACCCCCCAAAGCCGATACGCGGGTCATAGCGACCCCATGTCAGTAGACCCAGGACAGCGACGATCAGTACAAATGCCAGCAGGCGGACGGGGCGGCCGAGGTTCGTGGGCGCAATGAGCAGCGCCATGGCATGTCATGGCATGGGGGCGTTCAAAAGTCGTGATGGGCGCTGAGGCTGCTTTCCTTGCTACCGACAACAGGTGAGAGAGCGGCTGAACAGCTCAACATAAAAACAGAGAGAGCGAATGCCGAGGCGGGCAGCATCCAGCGCCGCCAGCACCCACCATCAGCTGTCAGACGTGTAGCGACCCCTGTCCAGGGGGAGGGGGGAGCTTAATTGCTTGAGCTTGGCGCGCCGAGTCGGATGGCTCGGCGTTGGTTCCCCTTTAGGATAAGGTGGCAGGGTCTAGACGCGTGACTCTGGGGAATTGGCAAAATGCACGGGGAAGGGGAAGAATCACATAGTCCAGCCATGAACCACAAATTGTGCAGTGCAGAATGTGACTGACTTCGTAGGTCGTGGGGTGGTAGGGCTGGAACTGTGATAAAGGGATTCAGGCTAAATGTCACGACATGTGCACGCCCATCGTGGCACGTTGACATGTGCAAGCATTTTCATTAGGCAGTGTTAGATTTGAACATTACAGGGCTGGAACGCGAAGATTCTCATCACTCCAAGTATATACCCGAAAGGCCAACCACCAGCCAACATGCCTCCTCGGTCAAGCCGAACACTGCCCAGCCCCCCCAGAACTTTCCGACCCGGACGGCGTTAACAGGAACTGGCCGCCTCCCCTGCCAGCGGTACACTCAGCAGTAGCCTTTTCGTCGCCTAAGTTGAACTCGACAACAATGGTGCACCAGTTGGTATCACGGCCCTTGAGGGATGCCCAGCTCTGGCAGCCTTGGTACCGGAAGCAGGCGACGCAGCACCCGGCGCTGTCTTCGAAGTTTCCGAGTTCCACGAAGCGGCCGGGATGAGTGATAGAGATGCCAACGATTGGCTGTTGCCGTTCGCAGATGGTGGCTGTTGCCGTGGTCTCCTCGGTCGTCGTCGTCGTCGTGAGTTCGGTGATGATCCTTGTCGTTGAGGGCGTTGTCGTTGTGAAGCGCGTCGTCGTCACGGTCGTGGGCATCGTCCTTGTGCGGGTCGTGGGCGACAGCGTAAAGGTTGAGACCTTGGTGATGGTGGCCGATGGACGCTTCGTCGTCGTCTTGGTGGCTGTCTTTGTGGCTGTCTTTGTGGCTGTCTTGGTGGCTGTGACGACCTTTCTTGACCGTCTGGGTCGGGCCGCGCCGAGGGGGGTACACGGCGGCACAGGCGTTGCAGATCTGCTGGCGCGAGTACCTCCTAAGATAAGAGGGAACGCTGGCGTCGCGCTCGTCGAGGCCGCGCGGGACGGGTGTGTCACCCTTGAAGCCGATGGGGATGACGGAGGTTGTCGTCGTTGTTGTGACCTCTGTGACGGTCGAAGTATCGGTGACCGTGGTGAGGATGGTGGACGTGGGACCCTGACGGTTGATAGCCTGGTCAGGACCGTGGTCGAAGCCCTAGTCACGGTGGCAACGGGTCGAGGGGCGGTGACAGTCGAGAGAACGGTTGTCTTGCATCCATAAGGGCACACGGTGGCCGTGGTCGTCGTGCACACAGTTGTTGTGGACTTGATTGTCTTTACGTGCGGCTTTGACGAGGCACACTGACTAGGGCAGTAGGACCGACAAAACTTCTCCGGCTTGTTCTTACGAATGATGGAGACGACAGGGTCTTCGTCTGAACGGCTATCAGTAAATTTCCTGGTCCTCACTCGTTGTGGTTTGCTGGAGGAGAGATCTTACACCTGCCACGTTTGCTGACGCCGTCGACCTTTTTTATGGACCAGACCATGGGTCTCAGGATCGACGTACACTAACTCATAGCTTTGATCGCTGGGGCAGCCAGGAAACTGAAAGGCTGGCGTGGTGTCCGACTTTGACTCCTTGGGATGGGCAACGGCGAGCTGCACGAAGCACAAGTTGGCGGCGAGGACCGCCTTCAGGAGGTTGACTATGATGATTTGAATGCCGGAGATTCGGGGAAATCTCGTTATATCGAGCCTTCTGGATGAGAATCAAGGAAATGAAGAACGAGGCAGTCTGTAGGGGATGACAAGAAGAGCAACCCAGCTCAGCGCGAACACATGTGAACAAGCGATGACAGGTGCTCAGGATATAAGAGTGCTTCAACGCATCTTAACACCGTTAGATTTCCTTTCCACCAGACGAAGACCAGCGGCACCGCTATCGACGCCCGAGCCACGCAGCATTGGTCTGGTCCGGCTTGTCGTCCTGAATCGGGCTTGAATCTTGGTCTGGGGCGAACAACGTCAAGTCATGCCAGCTGTTTAAGGAATACCTCACAGCATGCCGTTGGATCGATCCTGGGGCTAGTCCGAAGGAATAACAAGCTTCCAGGGGACACAGTTGACTGGCCACGCCAACCAGATCAACATGGCGTTGTGGACTGTTCAGCTGCCAAGACCGACCAACGCGGCAGCTCAAAGGGTCTGCGACCTTATTTTTATGTTCTACCAAGTTGATGAATGCCGACAAGCATCTTGACTGTAGAGCACTCTCCCCGCCTGACGACCCTCGAAGCCCTTGTTATTGCTGCACTGCTCCGCTCCGCTCCGTCGCCATGTACTGCGCTGGATTTCGGGGTGATTCAAACGCTGACTCGGCGAGAAAGATTCAATTTTAACGTCAAGTCCTGGATCAACACCGACGTATGGCCTTGCCTGGCCTTGTCCAACTTTCATCGTACAAAGTGGCCCGCTGGCTAAACCGGATGAAAACTTCAGCCAGGTCGACTTAGCGGCAGCGCTAATGAAGGCCCGGTGCTGTACTCATAATGCGTCAGCGTCGGCCAGAAATCATCGTGTACGGTCAAATTAGGAGTGCTGCGCCGCTGGAGATTGGTCGCTTTGCTGACGACATGTCCGATTCTGTGTGTTCTGCGCGTACCAGTACATACCCATCGTGACGGACACCAGAGGAAAGGCCAGTGCCGCGAAGAGCGCCAGGTCCTCGGTGCGGGTCCTGATGTAGCCCATCTGTAGCACGTCCTGTTCGAGATTCACGCCTTGGGCCAGCAGGAGGAACCAAGGCGAGGAGATCACAGGGATAGGCTTGAGGCCTTTTCAACCGATATCAAGATTTATCAGATGTGGTGGGGGAAACGTACGGCAGTGAAGGATGCCGGCACATAGATGAAAGCCAGTATAGTCAGCGTCTTGAGCACGTAAAACTCACCGTCCCGACGCTCAGCCAACTGGAGTGTTGCAGCAGTCTGCGCAAGTGAACCTTCATCTCGAGCCTGACGGCCTCACTGTTTTGGAGATGATTGTCAGGACCCCTGGGAAACCAACAGGTGGCTGCGGGGCACCCGTTCTCTGGCAACGGAGTGACGAAGAAAGGGGGCTTGAGTGTATGAGGGACCACTTATAGAGAGTGCCGTCGGCTTGTAATTGAAGAAGGCATCGATAGTTCTGGTGATCTATGTAAAGTCCACTCCAGCTTGAAGCGACCTCGATACATCCGGTGGGAAAAGCCCCGTGTCAGCCAACTCCAACGTTGTGATCTTGGGGAGGAATAGAAGAAGAGGGCTAGAATGAACTTCAACGAAACGCATGAGATGGTAGTTGGCTGATCCCATGCCTGGAACAAATGCCTCCGGCTAGTAGACATCTGATAAAACACAACAGGAGAAGCGTCTCGCGATTTGAGCTTCATATCCGGTCCGAAGTATTGGAATTGAAGACATCACCACAAAACAGCATGTGCGCCTTTCGTTTGACCAAGTTTCCGGGTCGGGCAGGCTCAACTCTGGCACGCCAAGCGAAAACTACGTCTAGGATCGACTGTTCATTGCTGAACAAGGTAGCTTAGGCGCAATCTCATCCAGTTAATTTCTGACTTTGTCGTCTCGGCCGCAGCCCGTGGAGTCGGCCGACGGGCAGGCTGGTAAAACCGCGATGAATGTCAGCATTGGAATGACGGTCATTGATTGTATGAATTGGAGATGCGAGTCATGCCTGTGCTTTCTCCAACGAGCAGAGTCTAAGAACAATGAGAACTGATCCAAAGCAGAATGAAAGCCACGGTCCGGCGCTTATGGCAGTGTGACGCTATGCGGTGATGAAAATGTCCTCCTGATCAGCCCCGCCGCTGCCTCTGTGGCCTTCCTTGGGCGCAAGTGCTGGACCGCGATCGCATGGTCAGCTTCTTATGCAGGTGCTTTGCTGCATAGTAGATGTATTGACATAGTCATGCAGTCTGTTGTGGCTGCACCGCCTTGTTCTTCTACTACTATAAGCTACGACAAAGACCCCGGATTACCACCTAAGGTGGCTTGCCTGGCATCTATAAGCTTGAGGCGC